TATACCACAACTTGCTCAGCCATTCCCCAATGGATGGGCATCCTGTCAATTTCCAATTCTTTGCCACCACAAAAAGAGCTGATATGAATATTTTTGTACATGTGGGTCCTTTTCCCATTTGTTTGATCTCTTTGGGATATAGCCCTAGAAGTGCTATTGCTGGATCAAAGGGTATGCACATTTTTGTAGCCCTTTGGGCATAGTTCCAAATTGTTCTCCAAAATGGTTGGATCATTTCACAGCTCCACCCACATCTTTTCCAACATTTATCATTTTCCTGTTTTGTCATGTTGGCCAATCTGATAGGTGTGATGTGGTACCTCAGAGTTGTTTTGATTTGCATTTCTCTAATCAATAACGATTTAGAGCACTTTTTCATATGACTATAAATGGCTTTAATTTCTTCATCTGAGAACTATCTGTTCATATCCTTTGACCATTTGTCAATTGGGGAATGGCTTGTGTTCTTATAAATTTGTCTTAATTCTCTATATATTTTAGAAATGAGGCCTTTATCAGAGAGACTGGTTGCAAAAATTCTTTCCCAATTTTCTACCTTCCTTCTAATCTTAGTTGCATTGGCTTTGTTTGTGCAAAAACTTTTCAATTTAATGTAATCAAAATTATCCATTTTGCTTTTCATAATGTTCTCTATCTCCTGTTTGGTCATGAATTCTTCTGTTCTCCATAGATCTGATAGGTAAACTGTTCCTTGTTCTCCCAGTTTACTTGTGGTGTCAGCCTTTATATCTAAGTCATGAACCCATTTTGACTTTATTTTGGTATATGGTGTGAGATTTGGGTCTATGCCTAGTTTCTGCCATACTCTTTTCCAGTTTTCCCAGCAGTTTTTTTCAAAGAGTGGGTTCTTATCCCAGAAACTGGGGTCTTTGGGTTTATCAAATAATAGATTACTATAGTCATTGACTGCTGTGTCTTGCATATTTAACCTATTCCACTGATCCACCTCCCTTTGTCCTTCATTTTCAAAGAACAATGATGTCACAGGGTTATGTCTTGATTCCTGCGTAAATTGGATTTAATGAAGCAGAGTTACACAAAGTCCTCAGCCTCACTCTCTCTTCCAGAATCATCAAAGTCCAGTGGCAAGACAAAAAGTCAGGATGACTGGCGATGGCCCAGGCTGCAGTGGATGACGTTGGCATCTTCAGTGTCTGACCAAGCTCTAAGCGCTCCACAGTGCCTGCTTCAAGGCCACTGAAACAAATTGTTCTCATCTGCCCATTCCACCAGGGGAAATCTTCACATGCTTGGAATAGACACTCTGCTAATTCACCAACGGGTTTGTGGCCCAACAGTTACCCTCAACTTAGTTTTACTTGTCTGCCAAGATGGTTTACTGGGGTGTGGCCACTGTGCAGGCTACAGCATCTTGGAGCCACAGGTGAGAGTGAAGTGCCAGGTAGACATCACAGGTGAATGAACAGCCTTAAAAGGGCTCAATAAGCTCCTCATACCAGGGTGCTAGTCCTCCTTGAACACCCATACACCCTATTCAGGGGCCACCAAGGTGGCACAGTGGATAGAGCACTGCGCCTGGAGTCAGGAAGACCTGAGTTCAAATCTAGTCTTAGACACTCACTAGCTGTGTGAAGCTAGGCAAATTACTTAACCCTATTTGCCTCTATTTAGGAGATAGGATCACTGGTTAAAGACATGGTCTTGGGGTACCCATAATGATGTGGGGAGCTTCCATCTACAACTTCTGAACTTCTACCTGAACACTTATTTGTTCCTCCAAAGCAAGCATGGCATAAAGTACCCATGGAGTCTCCCCATGCCATCACTCCTGTTTTGGGGTCTTTGTGGACCTTTAAGTCCAGTTCAATGTGTTGCAAAACAGAAATGGCAAAGGTTATCTATCAAGCCTGTCTACAGTGTGGGCTTGAGCAATCACATCATAACCTTTGGTATAAGGAAGCATTGCATGTTGCTAGGTGGCAGGTGGCTTCCCCAAACCATATATACCACAAAGGAGAGATTCTGAAACAGTTCCTATCATATCATCAAAAATATCCACAATCCACAATCCACAAGTTACTCTAGATGGTGCCATCAGGGTCCATCCTATCACAGCCATTGACTTCCCAACGTGATACTGGGAACTAGGGTCTCTCCATTCACTTCTCAAACCCTTATAAGCTGGCTTCTGTTCACTCCAATAGGACTGAAACTGCTCTTTCCAAGGTTACCAACAATGTCTTAATGGCTTAATCCAATTTTTTATTATTTATTATTATTATTATTACATATTATTTATTTATTTATTATTTCTTTGTTCTCATTCTATTTGCCCTCTCTTCAGGTTTTGACACATCCCTCCTCTCTCATTCTCTAGATTTTGCTCCTCTACTCAATAAACTTCATGGTTTCCTTTTACCTAACATCAAATAGAAACTCTTCAGCTTGGCCTTCAAAGCTCTTTACTTCCTTATCTCACCTTTCTAATAGTCTTACCTATTACTTTTCTCAACTCTTTCTACCCGAATTCCCCAGGCTATGTAGGCCTACTTGCAGTTTCTACACAGAACCACTTCCTGTACTGGTGGCTGGTGACTGCAATTAGCTGGCCTTAGTTTGCTGACCGTCATCCTAAAGGAATGCCCATTATAATATACCTGACAAGATGTCATTCAGCTTCTGCTTAGAGAGCCACCTCCTCGTGCAGACAGCTCCAGTTTTAGGAAGCTTTTCCTTACATCAAGCCTAAATATGCCCCTTTGCAATTTCTACCAATTGCTCTGGGTTCTGCCCTCTGGGACCAAATGGAAGATGTGAAGGAAATGCATTCCAGACTGGCAGGCCAGGGAGCACAAAGGGACAGAGATGAGAGCTGGATCATTGTGTGCAATTTTTTTATTTAAAAATGTAAAAACTATTAATTCACAGCTATACAGAAACAGGTCATAGGCAGAATTTGGCCTGCAAGGAGTAGTATGCTGATCCCTGCTTTAGGGTATAGGTTGGATTATTAGTTGGCTGCTTAGATCCCCTTCCATGCCTAACTTGTGAGTAGGATAGGGATCTCTCTCTCTGTCTCTCTCTCTCTCTTCCCTTCTCTCTCTCCCTCCCTCCCTTCCCTCCCCTCCCCTTCTCTCTTTCTCTCTCCCCCTCTCTTTCTCCTACATCTGGTCCCCATCTCTCACATCCTCCCTTCCCTTTTTCCAGGAAAACAGAAAGGAAAAAATAAAGCTGTTTAAACAGCCCCAGATTTGGAAAAGGGAGGGAACAGAAGAGAAATAATAACACCAGATCTCATTTTAAACCAAGACCCCCCTCTTTTTCTGTCTCTCCTCTCTCCCACAGACATCCCTCTAAGCCTGTGGTATTAAACTCTAATTAAAACAGGGGCACTGCCATTCATAAAGATCCCTATGGGCCACATATGGACAGCTAAGTGGTGCAGTGGTTAGAGGTTCAGGCTTGGAGTCAGGAAGACCTGAATTCAATTCCAGCCTCAGACACTTACTACCTGTGTGACCTTGGGCAAATCATTTATCCTGTTTGCCTCAGTTTCCTCATCTGTAAAATGAGTTGGAGAAGGAAATGGCAAACCACTCCGTATCTTTGTCAAGAAAACCCCATGGGGGTCACCTCAGACACAACTGGACAACAACAACAAATAGGCCATATATTGATTTAGAAAACCACATATTAGTATTATCTATGTTCTGTTGTATTTTTATTTATTTTGTTAAATATTTCCCAGTTACATTTTAATCTAGTCCTGCCGTACAAGGAGAGTTGTTGGCCACAGGGGCATATGTTTGACAGCTCTTCTCTAAACTATCCCTCTCTCCTTGAAATCTCTGGTTCAGAGTAATATTATCAGTCAACAAGCATTTATTAAAACACCTATGGCGGCAGCTAGGTGGCACAGTGGATAAAGCACCAGACCTGTATTCAGGAGGACCTGAATTCAAATCCGGCCTCAGACACATAACACTTACTAGCTGTGTGACCCTGGGCAAGTCACTTAACCCCATTGCCTAAAAAAAAAAAAAAAGATAATAGAACACCTATGTGCCAAGCACTGCACAAGATACTTGGAATACAAAGACAAATGTGAAGGAATCTATGCCCTCAGGGAATTTTCATTCTGTCTGGAAAAACATGTACTCATTACATAAACATAAAATATATGAAAAGTAAGTACACTGGGGAGTGGAGGGGAGACAGGACTGCAAGGGACACCAGCAGTTGATCAGATCAGAAAAGACCCAATGGAGAAAATGGGGCTTGAGCTAAGTTTTGGAAGACACTAGGGATGAGATGCTAATGAAGCATTCATCTCTTCTTCATCAAAAAGGTAGGGGATTTGGGCACAAAATGTTGCATACACTCTTGCAGATACAACTTAACTGGTTTTCTTGGTTATTAAGGAGGGTCTAATTGTGTGTGTGTGTGTGTGTGTGTGTGTGTGTGTGTGTGTGTGTGTGTGTTAGCAGGAAGACTTACATCCTGAAATGACTATGATTTTTTTTAAAAGGAATCAATAAAACTTTTGTAAAAGTTTGTTAAGGAAGATACATAATCCTTTCTCCTCTCTGAGGCGCTGGGAAGGGATTTTTAGCCCTTCTCCTTTATCCACCTGCTACCCTATTCCCCCAACTTAACCTGCTATTTCTTCAAGCCCAAATCCCATTGTAAACTGTTTCAAGTGAAACAATTAAAGACTTTAGCACCAATGGTTCCCAACATTTTATTCAACTATAAGAAGAAAAAAAAAACCAGCTCAGAGTAGCTCCCTTCTCACCCCAGCAAAGAGAAGACTTTCTGATAACTTTCTACTGACACAACCCAAGAGATTCATTGTTTCCCTTCAAATATTATGGTCTTGGAATTTCAGGGTTTTAAAATTTTTACTTTTGTAACACCAGTTTCAATAGCATCTCCTACAGAGACTATGGATACTGTTACTTAAAGAGGGACTGGAATTTTTCCACATCACAACCAAACTGTCATTTTGAAGTCTCTTTTAACTGTTGTAATTGTTGGAGAAAGACTGAGGACAGAGATAAAGGACTAAGAGAACTTCTTTCCTGAGAGACTGAGTGGTTTAACTATCAAAGAGGGATGGAATTTAACTCTTTTGTCAAGAAACATTAGGAAGAAAGTTCTTGAGAAAAGACTTCAGCTGCCATCCTGAGAGAACTAAATGACAGGTCTTGTTTTCAGAGTGATGGTTAGAGGTGACTGCTGCTGTGATCTTTCTTACAGATGATACATTGTAAATAATAATCTATGTCTTTATTTTATTGTTTATTTTATCGTTAATAAGTTGCATAGCCAGTAACTTTCATGTTTATTTAAGCCTATGAGATTAGGGGATGGGTAAGAAAGAGGAGGGGGGAAAAAGGGGAGAGACAGAGACAGAGACAGAGACAGAGACAGAGACAGAGACAGAGAGACAGAGAGAGACAGAGAGACAGAGAGAGAGAGAGAGAGACAGAGAGAGAGACAGAGAGACAGAGAGACAGAGAGAGAGAGACAGAGAGAGAGAGAGACAGAGAGAGAGAGAGAGAAAGGAAAGCTTGTGGGAAAAGACATTTTTCTGGTTTATTTAATAAGTAATATATAAGAAGGGCAGCAAGGTGGCGCAGAGGGTAGAGCACGGGGCTTGGAATCAGGAAGACTCATCTTTATGAGTTCAAATCTGGCCTCACACACTTACTGGCTGTGTGACTCTGGACAAGTCACTTAATCCTGTTTGCCTCAGTTGCCTCATCTGTAAAATGAGCTGGAGAAGGAAATGGCAAACCACTCCAGTACCTTTGCCAAGAAAACCTCAAAATGGGGTCACCAAGAGTTGGACATGACCGAAACAATTCAACAACAATAATATATAAGAAACTAAAAGGGAAACTAAGAACTAATTAATTAATGAGAGATGTTTCCTTTTGGTAATTTATGAGGGAATATCAGAACATATCCTTTGATTGCATTTGAATCTGAGATGAGAAATAATAAGAGATTAAATCAGTAGCACTGAGAAAGTAGGGATCAATATATGTAGGCTAAAACTTATAAACTGGGGTAGCCAACTCTGAACCCTGCTAGTGTAGATCATTCATGTAACATACTTTCCTTTGATCATTTGGTGTTAAAAAAAAAAGGCTATTTTAATTCAGAGTGAGGAAATCTTAATGGTACATAGTATAGACATGTAGCAGTTTGCAGGCACACATTTAAACCAGTTTAGGCTGATTTAATTTCTCATGTTAAGGTTGATGTTGAACAATTCTAAATACCAGCAGTGAGTGAATAACTATGAGCTCTCTAACTCCTAACACAGCGACAGCTAACCAACCAAGTGTCTCTCTAAATCCAAACAACAGCACAAGTAGGAAGTTGCTCCCCTCCTCCTGGGGCAAGGCTACTCTTTCAGGAAGCTGCCTCTTTAAGGTACACTCTGGCAAAAAGGAAAAAAAAAAAAGCAAAAATCCCCAGATCCCCACCTCCCATGGCATGGGCTTTCCTCAGCTCCCCATTTGGATTTTTAAATGATTGTATTGCTGGATAATAAAATAAAATACAGAGAAAAAAGGCCAGAAAGAATCAAAGATGAGCAGGACAATTTTAAAGACTACACGTTAGGGGCAAGCTAGGTTGCACAGTGGATAGAGCTCTGGCCTTGGAGTTATGAGGACCTGAATTCAAATCCGGCCTCAGACACTTGACCTTTACTAGCTAGCTGTGAGACCCTGGGCAAGTCACTTAACCCTGATTGCCTCACCAAAAAGCAAGAAAAAAAAAAGACTACGCATTAAACATATTATCTATGTAGCACTTATAAGCTCTGGGCTCACTCTCCCAACACACACTTCATCTAGTAGGCTATCAGAGCAAGACTCCCACCCCCTCCTTCAAGCTCTAGAAGTAACTCTGAAGGTTTAGAGATTCCTTGTTCAAAATCCCTCATCTAGTGTGTTCTCACCAATTAACATCACTCCAACATCATATAATCAATGGACCAATTGATTTCTTCCCAATATTAATTAACCAATTAACATTGATTAGCTTTTACAAAGCTATATTTACTGAGAAAATATCACAAGACCCACAGTACAAAAGCATCCCAGACAGAAAGCACACTCTTCTGCTACCTTGGTGCCTGAGGACTCAAAACGAAACTCTTGACCATATTCCCTCCACCAAGTCAATTTCTAAGTGGCATAGCCAAGAGTTGAGGCACTCCCTTGCTTTCAGGACAAGGTGATTTGGCTGCAGGACCTCAGTTCAAATCCAGCCTCAGACACATGACACCTACTAGCTGTGTGACCCTGGGCAAGTCACTTAACTCCATTGCCTAGCCAGAAAAAAAAAAAGGCTCTAGGGAGAAAAATATTTCGTCTATTTGTGTCTATTATATGCACATTCAGTTCTGGGCAGCCAATTTAAAAGCTTTCCATGGCCATGCAGTAGAATCAAAAGGAAACAAACTACCTGTGCGTGCTCTAAAACAGAGGAGTAAGGACCCTTCCATCTCTCACATTCAGAAGCAGGCCCACCAAGCCTCTGTGCAAGCTGATATCATACAGAGCACATGCTGTAAGAAATGGGCCCTTATTAGCTAATCTCCATTATACATATTTTAGGAAAAAAGCAAGCTGTGTGTAATGGAGATTCATGATTTCATGTACAATCCTCTTTTTTTGTTGTTCTATTACATATATGGAAATGTCCATTGTGTGTGGTGTTAAGTTCAGTATTTTTTTTAATTTCTTTAAAAAAAACCCTCTCACTCTACTATTCTATATCTATAGTGTTCCCCTGACCTACCAATGTGATAAAGCTCTTAAAAAAGATATAATGTTGTTCTGCATAACCTTTTCTTGATGAAGCCACGGTGTTCTAGGTCTAAGTCATTGGCTCTTTCTCTAAATGCTCACAGAACATCTAGTAACATGGCCAGGACTACAGGTCAACTTCCCCAGCTTATAAGTTACAGATTCTACTCTTTTCCTTTTGTTGAAAATGAAGACATCTGTTCTTCTTTAGTCCTGCAGCAGCTCACCCTGTTGTTCACAATGCTTCAGCAATCATCAATAATCTCAGTAATAACTGCCAGGGGTTGTTTTGTTTTGTTTTAGGACTATAGCATATAGTTTGACTTCACCTGGTAACTTAGGATAGCTAAGAGCTCTTTTGATATCTCCTCATTCATCTTCTGTTTCAGCCATAACTAATCATTTTTTCCTATCTTTCCTACTCCAAAGACCATTGACTTTGAAAGAAAAAACAAGCAAAATAAGAGATAAGCAGTTCTATTTTATCTCCATCATTTATATATTGTCATATCACCCACCACAATTAGCAGTCCAATGCCCTCTTTTGCCCTTCCTCTTACATCATATATGGTTTTTAAAAGCCAATTTTTAAACTGTAGACAATATAAAATACTTGGGAGTTTACATGACAAGACAAACCCAGGAATTATATGAACACAATTACAAAGCATTTTTCATACAAATGAAGTCAGATCTAAACAATTGGAGAGATATCAGCTGTGTGTGGGTAGGCCAAGCCAATATAATAAAACAACAATTCTACCTAAATTAATTCACTTATTCAGTCCTATGCCAAACTACCAAAAAAAGTCATTTTATACAGCTAGAAAAAATAATTTAAAATTCACCTGGAAGAACAAAAGGTCAAAAATATCAAGGGAATCAATGAAAAAATAAATATGAAGGAAGGCAGCCTAGCCATACCAGATCTCAAACTATATTACAAAGCAGTAATCATCAAAACAATCTACTATTGGGCTAAGAAATAGTGGTGGATCAGTGAAATAGATTAGGTACACAATACATGGTAGGAAATGACCATAGTAATCTAGTGTTTGATCAATGCAAAGATCAAAGCTTTGGGGACAATATATCATTATTTGACAAAAATTTCTGGGGAAATTGGACAGCAATTTAGCCAAAACTAGGTATAGATCAACATCTCATACCATACATCAAGATAAGATCAAAATAGGTACATGATTTAAACATAAAGGGTGATATCATAAGCAAATTAGGGAGCATGGAATATTTTATCTTCAGATCTGTGGATAAAAGAGGAATTTATGACCAGACAACAGATAGAGAGCATTATGAGATGTAAAACTGGTGATTTTGATTACATACATTACAGTAAAAACTAAACTAATGCTGCTGAGATTAGACGAAAAGCAGAAAACTGGGGTGGGGGGGATTTTATAGCAAGTCCCTCCGATAAAGGCCTCATTTCTAAAATATATAGAGAACTGAATCAAACTTGTAAGAATATGTCATTCCCAATTGATAAATGGTCAAAGGATATGAACAGGCAGTTTTCAGATGAAGAAATTAAAGCCATCTACAGTCATATGAAAAATGCTCTAAATCACTACTGATTAGAGAAATGCAAATCAAAATAACTCTGAGGTACCACATCACACCTATCAGATTGGCCAACATGATAAAACAGGAAAATGATAAATGTTGGAGATGATGTGAAAAAATTGGGACACTAATGCACCGTTGGTAGAGTCGTGAACTAATTCTGGAGAGCAATTTAGAACTACGCACAAAGGATTATAAAATTGTGCATACCCTTGACTCAGCAGTAGCACTACTACTAGGTCTGTGTCCCAAAGAGATTCAAAATAAAAAATTTAAAAAGGAACAGGATCTATGTAAAAAAAAAAAGATTTATAGCGACTCTTTTAGTGGTGGCAAAGATTGGAAATTGAGGGGATGCCCATCAATTGGGGAATGGCTGAACAAGTTGATTGTGATATATGACTGTGATGGAATACTAGTGTGCTATAAGAAATGATGAGCAGAATATCATAAAATAATAAAATATTATTAAATATATATAAATATATAATAAAAATGACAATTCTACCTAAATTAATTTACTTATGCAGTGCCATTCCAATCAAACTACCAAAAATTATTTTATAGAGCTAGAAAAAATAACAAAATTCATCTGGAAGAACAAAAGGTCTGGAATATCAAGGGAATTAATGAAAAGAAATGCAAGGAAATGTGGCCTACCCATACCAGATCTTAAATTGTATTATAAATCAGCAATCTACAAAACTACTCGGTACTGGCTGAGAAATAGAATGCTAGATCAGTGGAATAGGTTAGGCACACAAGACACAATAGTCAATGACTATGGTAATCTACTGTGTGAAAAACCCAAAGACTCCAGTTTCTGGGATAAGAACTCACTATTTGACCAAAAAAAAAACTGCTGGGAAAATTGGAAAATAGTATGGCAGAAACTAGGCATAGACCAATATCTTATACTGTATACCAAAATAAAGTCAAAATGGGTTCATGATTTACATATAAAGGCTGATACTATAAGTAAACTGGGAGAGCAAGGAATAGTTTACCTGTCAGATTTATGGAGAATGGAAGAATTTATGACCAAACGAGATAGGAAACATTATGAAATGCAAAATGGATAATTTTGATTACATTAAATTGAAAGTTTTTGCACAAAGTCAATGCAACCAAGATTAGGAGGGAAGCAAAACACTGGGAAAGAATTTTTACAGCCAGTATCTCTGATAAAGGCCTCATTTCTAAAATATATGGACAACTGAGTCAAATTTATAAGAATATAAGTCATTTCCCAATTGATAAATGGTCAAAGGATATAAGCAGGCAGTTTTCAGATGAAGAAATTAAAGCCATCTATAGTCATTTGAAAAAATGTTCTAAATCACTACCACATCACACCTGTCAGATTGGCTAACATGACAAAACAGGAAAATGATAAATGCTGGAGAAGATGTGGGAAAATTGGAACACTAATACATTGTTGGTGGAGTTGTGAAATGATCCAGGAATACGATATGAGTTAAAGGAACTTTAGGCCCATAGCTCAGTAAAAAAAAAAAAAAATTGTTTGAGAGTGCCCAAGAGACAAAAGAGGGCTGGAGGGGGAGGGAAGAGGAATAATTAAAAAGAAAGGCCAAAATGCCTAAGGTTTTCTTGAGCTAGCTGTCTAGGTGCCTCTGGTTGGAGTGTGGTGGTGGGTGAGGAGGGGGTCGTATATCACAAAAATAGTTGAAATAGCCCCAAGGACTATACAAATCCGCCATACAAGAAGAGGCCACATAGAATATGAAAACCAGCAGATGGCAGCACATCAGAAAAGACAAATAGGCAGAAAGCTCCACACTAGGGGAGATGATTCAGAGATTGCAACCAGGGGTGTGCTGGAGCCAGCAGGAACCGGCTTGCAAGAGCCTGTTGTGAAATTTTCAGTGTGGATATCTACACTTCAGAAACTGCAAATGCCACAAACCCTACAAATCAAGCTTGATTAATTGCTTTTTTGATTGTCTAGACTTAAGAAAATTGATGGCAAAGATATTAATAATGCAGATTGAACTTGAAAGTGTGTTCTGTGGGTCAACTAGGTGGTGCAGTGGATAGAGCACCAGCCCTGGAGTCAGGAGGAACTGAGTGCAAATCTGACCTCAGACACATAACACATACTGGCTGTGTGACCCTGGGCAAGTCACTTAACTCCAGTTACCTTGCCCTCCCCACCCCCCCAAAAAAAGTGTGTCCTGAATACAATTTTTTTAAAATTTTAGGAAAAACAGTAATTAAACATTTACCAACACACCACTGTGACGTTGGGGCCCTATAAAGGAGCACAGTGTTTATTATTTGTCCTTCGTTCTTGAAGAGGACCCATGACATCAGGAGAGTGATGTCTTGACTTACAAGTGAATTGGATTTAAGTGAGGCAGAGCTGTGCAAAGTCATTAGCCCTGCTCTCTCCTCCAGGGACATCTGAGTTCAGCAGCAAGACCTGGGTCAGGACAACCGGAGATGAGCTGCAGAGGAGCGAGGTGTAGCTTCAAAGACTGAAGTTTCCATTAAGGATGCCACTTTGAGAACATGAGCTGTTCTGACTGAATGTTTGTGCTGGCCATATGAATTCTCTAGTGGGCATCCCTTCCATTCATGTTTCCCGGGTATGTGTTTTCTCTGAGAGAAAAGATATCCCCGTGTGTGTGGAGATACTTTCCTTTGCCCTCTATTTTGCTATGCTATTTAATTAAATGTCTTTTGCTTTGAACTATGCACTGGGCTTGGAATCAGGAAGATTCATGAGTTCAGATCTGGCCTCAGATGCTTACTAGCTGTGTGACCCTGGGCAAGTCACTTAACCCTGTTTGCCTCAGTTTCCTCATCTGTAAAATGAGCTGGAGAAGGAAATGGCAAACCACTCCAATATCTTTGCCAAGAAAACACCAAAATGGGGTCACCAAGAGTCAGACAAGACTGAAACGACTGAAAAACAAAGGCTATTACTGAAGGCTTTATATTTCAAGAAGATGAAAAGGTCCTTGCATTGGCTGCAAAATCAGCAAAGCTGACGACTTAGTGGGTAATTAAAAGACAGTGACCCCCAAGCTCAGTTCTCTCTTCCTTTCTGCTTCAGATTGTTTTAGGACTGTTTCAAGATACTTTCTATGAAGAGAGTGGGAGGAAAAGCAACTTGTCCTTTCTGTCTCCATCCCTGACCTTCATGCATCCGTGCATGTCCTGCCTAAGTGAACCTGGATCTAGGTTTTATCTGTATCGTTTGTGATTGTTCTTTACTGACCTTAGGTGGATAGGTATATATCCTCAAGTAGAGGTGTCTACAGTTGGAGGTGACTGTGAATTTGAGAGATCTGGAAAAAGTCATCAGCAACCACTCCATCACTCTTAGAAAAAACAGACATCAGCAAGAGGAATGGCCTACTCTTGGCTATTATACCTGAAGACACATACAAAGGGTTATTAGTACAGAACGGAAGAGAATTGTAAAATGTTCAATCAACAATCTTACAAACAGCTTTATGTTTCAACAAGGTCTAAGTATCAGTCTCCCAGCAGATTGTTAACAATAGTTAATTTACTGAATCCTGTTTTAAACTGTTGATGTGCATTATCAGTATTTATGTTTAGCATTTCTTTTGCATGTAGGAAATAAATATCTGTCTCATCAGGGACATGTTGCATACTGTGTATCTTTCTACTCCCTCTTTTTGAGGAAATCTTGGATGTGATCCATTACCTAAGCAGAGGCAAATCACCTCACAGCTGCAATGTCTGGGAGTTAAAGAGCCGAAAAGTTTAAGTATTTGGAAGTCTAACATCTCTCATTAGAGGCCAGGCTGCCCCAGAACTGAACCTCATCCAAACCTTACATGCTTGGGTCCAGACAGAAAGGCCCCTTAGTGAAAAAGGGAATAATACTGCACCCTAGCTCCTGTGGGCTAAGAGCAGTTCCTTACTGTTAAAGAGGTAGTCTCAATTATCTAACTTAGATCTACTAGTAAATCACTTTTCTTACTTCACTACATGGTCTAGCTTAATGATAAACTCCGAAGACCACCTAATTGCAGTTTTTCCTCACGCTAAGAGACTGGGCTAGAAACTCAAAATACTCAAATGAATCTACGACCTCATCAATTTCTATATTCCATGACCTCATCAATTTTGATATTCCATGACCTCATCAAGTTCGATATTTCTTCTAATAATGCTGATCACAACCCAAAACACCTACTCATCCTGGATGACTCTTACCCATATCCTCCCATGAGTCTGTCAAAGGGAGTTAATCCAATTTGCTAAGGGCCTTCCTCAATTTCATTTAACAGCTCTCAGAGAATGATTCCAGAGGACTGATGATAAATCACCTCCTGACAGAGGTGATGGACTAGGGGTACAAAATGAATCATACTTTTTTGGGACATGGCCAATGCAGGAATCTATGTGGCTCAATTGAGCATATTTGTTAAAAGGGTTTTGTTTTCCTTTTTTTTTCCTGGGGATGTGGGGAGGGAGACAAAATAGATTTTTGTTAATTAAAATCACAAAATTAAATGAATGTTTTTTCAATCTCTAGGATAACAGTGGAACATACAAGCTGTTTGGCAAGGAAAAGACTTAGAGGAAACATGGGAACAAGATCACAGATTTCAAGTATGTGCAAAGTTGTCATGGAGAAGAAGGATTAGGTTTGCTTGGCTCAGCCCAAGAGTAGAACTACTTGGGTTCTTCTGGAAGCTGGAAAGAAGCAAATTTAGGCTTAATTTAAGGAGAACATGCTAACAATAGGAGCTATCCCAAAGTGGAATTAGTTAGCCTAGGAAGGACTGAGTTCCCCTCCATGGAAAGTCCTCAAGTGAAGGCCGGATGACCGCTTGTTGGGTATGTTGTAAAAGAGATTCAAGGTCAGGTGGACTAGACCAGAGGTGGGGAATCTGTGGCCTTGAAGGGCCACACGTGGCCCTATGGGTCCTCAAGTGCAGCCCTTTGACTGAATCCAAACTTCACAGAACAAATCCCAAGGATTTGGATTCAGCTTGGATTCAGTCAAAGGGCCACACTTGAGGACCTAGAGGGACACATATGGCCTTGAGACTTCAGTTCTGAGATTATGTGATGCTAAAATTCTTTGTTTTTATGCTTTAGGGTTGGATTTCTGTGTCCAGGGCAACCTTCCCTAACACGGACCTGAGCACCAGAACCACAAAATCATTTCCAGTATTTGGATGGACTTCACCTTTCCCAGCTCCTCCTTCCAAGAACTCAACTTTTTGTGAACTTAAAATGAAGTCTTTGCCCAGATAGATACCATTATTAGTAAATTCTAGAAAATACCTGCCTTCCAGTCCCCAAAGTCAGACCATTCCATTAAAAGTCAAGCCAAATCAACAAGTATGTATTAAGTGCCTACTATGTGCCAGTCACTAAGTAGAAGTGCTTAAAATCAAAGTGGGGTCTAGCCCAGTGACGTTATAAAGACATTAAAACCATAACCAAATCTTATCCATCCTTTAAATATGGTGGGATGCTTGTAATGGAAAGAGCAGTAGATTTAGAATTAGTAGTTGGAAGTTCAAGTTCAGCTCTGGCACTTACCTTGAGTCTCTCTGGGCCTCTGTTTCCCCATCCGTAAAATGAGGGAGTTGAACAACTCCACGGTCCTTTCTGACTCTAAATCCTATGATTCCATAATCTTCAATTCCTTCTTCCCTCCAAAGTTTTCCCTGGACCCTTGGGTCCATAGTTATCTCTACAATTCTGATTCCCCATATCACCATCCAGGGCTTCCCCCTTATCTAACAAAACCCATTCTAATTCTACCTCCCATTCCTCTGCCTTTAAGGTTTACCAAGTACAACCAAGTACCACAACAACCCTGGGAGGTAGGTAGCCCCAGTCATTCATTTACAGTGTTTCATCAGTCAGGTCACTTCTTCCCTCAGGGTTCTCTTTTCCTACATCTATGCTATGGAGAGAACAATGGATAGAACAGTTGATAACGGAACAAATTACATAATTAATAATAATAATAATAGCCAGCATTTATGTAGCACTTTAAGGTTTGAAAAGCATTTTACAAATATCATCTCATTTTATTCTCATAATAACCCTGCTGTTGTTACACCCATTTTACAGATGAGGAAACTGAGGCAAACTGAGATTATGTGACTTTCTCAGATTTGAATTCAAGTCGTCCTGACTCCAGGCCCAGCACTTTAGCCACTGCAGTGCCTAGCTGCCTAAAGGATAAACTGGAACAGTGTGTGTAAAGGAGTTTGGGGGAAGAAATAAAGCTGAATACAAGTATAAGCTATCAATATTAATGTTTCAATAGTTCCTTAATCTCATTCTTCTAGGTATGCCTCCAGCAGTGCACACAACTCATCCATGCTTCTTTACCCTGTGCAACTTTTTTTTTTCCTGGCAATTGGGGTTAAGTGACTTGCCCAGGGTCACACAGCTAGTAAGTGTCAAGTGCCTGGTCTGAGACCGGATTTGAACTCAGGTCCTCTAGACTCCAGGGCCAGCACTCCATCCACTGTACCACCTAGCTGCCCCTAACTTGTGCCCCTAACCCTTTTGTCCATGTATCCCCATCAATCCTCTCCATAGGAGTACACCCAAGGCCCTAAGAGCCTTCCCCTTGGTAAATCTTGTAATATGCTATAGGTACCATGGTATAGGTACCAAAGCTATAATTTGGTACATGGGCTGGGCCACCTTCTTTTCCAATCATGTATTTAATGAATGACAATCTTTTATGTCACTTCTTGCATGCAGCTCACTGGTAATATGGTGAGAGCTCATCTGTACCCATCATCCATCTCTTAATTGTCCTTTGGATCACCCACAATTTTGATTCTTTAAAGAACATAGCATCCCATAATTTGTATGGAATAATATTATTTAATATAATAATATTATTTCACTAGAGTGTCACTATGACATGGGAATGACCCTAGATTCTTAAAGGTATGGGCCTGCAGGTCCTACCAAGTTGAAAAGTTCAGTCATTCAGTTAATAAGCATTTATTAAGCACTCACTATATGTCAGGCATTGTGCATATTCTGGGGATACAAAGATAGGCAAAGTCCCTGCCTTTGAGGAGCTCACAATCTAACGGGACAGACAACATGCAAACAACTATGGACCGGCTGACATGGAAATATGTCTTGCATGACTTCACATGTGCAATTGACATTACTTGTTTGCCTTCTCAATGGGTAGGGAAGGAGCAGGAGGGAAGGAGAGAATTTGGAACTCAAAATGTGAAAAAATGAATATGAAAAATAAATAATTTTTTTAAAAAACCAACAACGTACAAACAAGCTAAATACAGCACAAACAGGGCATAATCAGCAAAGGGAATTCACTAGAATTAAGCTAGATTGGGAAAGGCCCAGAAATGAACTGCGTGTCTATCACCCAAGGACCAGACCGGCTAAGTTTAGAGTGCCTCCACGCAAGGCTTCCCACAAGGTGAGGAAATTTTTGGTCAAACCAGCTCTTGAAGACTGTCTACTGAGCTTTAGATGAGTTGAGCTCTATATAATCAAGGGATTCCCTACATCAATAAAATTATAGACCCTTGATGTTTTGTCATCAATTCAGAATAACATGGGGTCATGACAAGGATATAACCAGATCTCTAGAGGGTCCGGGTCTCAGGTACAATTACCTTCTAGCTTAGCAGTAAAAGGAAGGGGGATCAATAATGCAAAGGGCAGGAAATCTCCTGTCCTAGCACCCAGGTTAGGTGATACTCTCAGTTCTTCAAAGCAAAACACACAGTATACCCAGCACCAAGATTATGCAGGGATCCAGAAGAGGACCAGGTGGATTATAGAAAGAGGTATAGAAAGAGGCTTCCTACCCCTGATATCAGGAGCACCAATCAGCAAGGTTACAAAGGGGCAGAGAGGTGGAAATGGATGTTTGCAGTAAAGAAGATTCCAGATATGGGGGCCCAGAGAAAGGGCAAGGTCAGGGTCCCAAGCAGTAAGAAGAAGCTTTTCTCTAGCACAGATAGTCAGAGAAAGACCCGTCCTGAAAAGAACTGATTTTTCTTTTCTTTTTTTTTTTTTTGGCTAGGCCATGGGGTTAAGTGACTTGCCCAGGGTCACACAGCTTGCAAGTGTTATGTGTGTGAGTCTGGATTTGAACTCAGATCCTCCTGACCCCAGGGCCAGTGCTCTATCCACTGCGCCACCTAGCTGACCCAGAACTGATTTTTCTGAACTACCAAACTTGGCATTCCCATGAATAGGTAAGAAGCCTCTTCCTCCTGTGTCTCCTCAATGAAGAGGTTTTGTTCTGGCTCTGGATCCAGTTGGTAGGCTCACACCCACCCAAATCTGCTTGGGCTTGGCAGACTCCAAGAATTGGAGAGAGAGAGAGAGAGGTCACACAAAGACATGCAGAAAGGAGCTTCACAACGACATAAGCTCAGTTCCCTGGGTCTGTAAACCCAGGCAGCACTCCCAGATAGAAACATCCAACCCACCCTTCCCACCCGCCAAACGAGAATGAATTTTCTCCACATGGGTGGAGACAGAGACACTGACCCCAGCACTTCGGTTCTGTCCTGAAATTAGCTGCTGGGGAGAGAAATCCCGATCAGAAGTAAAGAATGTATGGCTATAGTCAGAGTAAAATAGGCGGGCCCAGGTCTTGGCAGCTTTAAAAGCTAAGAGAGACACCAAGGAGGGAGCTGAAGGCCCGTACATATAGTGACCTGCAAAATCAGGGCAGGGGGTAACAGAAGATCTAGGAGGAGTGATCTCTTTAGGCATTCTGAACCTGGGATCTGTGACCTTGGTTTTCAAAAATATTTTTATAACTGTACTTCAGTATGATTGTTTTCTTTGTAATCCATTGTACTTTATTTTATGTATTTAAAAATATTATTCAAAGGTGGGGGGCCTTTGCCAGACTGCCAGAGGGGACCATGACAGAAAAAAGATTCAGAACCTCCAGTTTAAAATGAATCTAGAGAAGAAGGCCTGTCTGGGGACTGCCACAAGTATGATTATAAGATTGTAATTTCTCTTTATTTCTCTCCTCCCTATTGAAGTACTATATAATATGCCCCCAACCCAGAAGATCGTGTTAGTTAAAATCAATGTTAGAGACAGTGTTGTGACCAAGTATATTTAAATCTCTATAAATGTGTCCATGGATATGTCAGGGGGAAAGAGTTTCCTTAGCCTGTGGGAGGAGGTGAAGGGGGGAGGGTGTCTGGGGTTGGGGGCTGGAAGAGGGCCAAGACAGATTGGGAACTTCTCAACCAAGTCCAAGTATTTGCCAGATGAGAGACTGCGCTGGTCGTCCCCACCTCCAGTCTGCCTCTGGCCAGTGTCAGCAACACCTCCCCAACTCTCCAGGTCTGAGCTAATCTGGGATACTTGGGGTGCCCCAGCTTCTCTCCTGCCTGAAGATTGTAGTGTCTCCTGCCCTGGAGATGTCTCTGCACAAGAGAGATTATGGGGGACAGGCAAAGGCAGTGTGGTGGCATGAGGAAGGAGATAGGATACTCACATGCAATCATACACAATGAAGAAGGCTATCCACCTCCTGACAGAGGGGTGATAGGCTCAAAATACGTAATGAGGCACACGTTTTTGAATACAGCCAAATTGGGAATTTGTTTTGCTTGACTATACATATTTCTTTCAGGGGACTAGAGGGAGAAAGAAGAGAAGATAAATGCTTGTTAATTGAAAATAATAAAATGTAAAATAAAATTTTATAGAAATTATACAAGTTTTATACTTGTAATTATATGAAATTTAAGAATATATAAATTATACAATTTATATAAATTTATTTTATAATTTTTATTATTTTGAATGCATTCTAAATTGTTGAATCAATTTTATAAATTAAAAATAAAATTAAACTGTTTTTAAAATAATAAAATCATTTATATAGTCATACCTTCAACATCACTCACCACCACCCCCAACATCACTTCACTTTCCACTCCTCTCTAGCTGAAGCCAAGGGTGGGGTCTGGTCAGGAGTTTTTCCAGGCTGGGCCAGTTCAACCTGACCCAACATAGCAGGAAATGGGGTGGGGGTGGCTGTTGGGTCCTGGGGTGGAAAGAGGGGCAGGGCACAGGGCATTTCTGAACAGTTTAAAATTGAACACATGTAAATAATATGTATGGCAGCAAGTGGCAGACAGGTCTATTGAGGCTGAGATTGATGGGCACTGGGGGACGACAGCTCCAGCCCCTTCCTGTTTAGAGGGCTCCAGCCCTTGATTTCCATATTTGGAGTTCATACAGGTCCAGACCCTCCCCCAGAGCCCTGCCCCAGGCCCCCTAGCCCTGCGCAGGGGCAGCAGAAAGGTCACAGGTACATCCAAAAGGATCCAACTAGCAGCTACATCCAGGCCCCGCCAGCCCATTGTAAGCCAGCAGGGTTCATAGTAGACTGGGCGGTAAGGAAGTGGGGCCTGGAGCGGCCAAGCCAATCGACAGGTAGAGATCACAGGATGACAACTTTAGAGCCGGAAAGGAGACCTCAGAGATCACATGGTGCAGTGGAAACAGTGGCAGATGTTAGAATCAGAAGACCTGGGGCCAAACCCTAGATCTCCTACTATTACAGGTGTGACCCTGGTCAAGTCACTATTCTCTGTAGCTTAGGTTTCTCATCTATAAAACAAGTGGAGTGAGCTAGATCCAGGATTCTTAACCTGAGGTCCATGAACTTTTTTTTTTAATTTTGATAACTTATGTCAATATAATTGGTTTCCTGTGTATTTTATTTTACATATTTTAAAACATTCTTCTGAGAAGGGGTCCATAGGCTTCACCAGATTATAAAAGAGGGTCACAATACAAAATAGTTAAGAAGCCCTGGTAGATGAGATGATCTCTAAAGTCACTTCTGAAGCAAAATCTATGATTTAATCCAGCCTTTTCTCTTTCTAGATGAGGAAACTGAGACCCAGATAGTGATGAATTGCCCAAGATCTCCTAGATATTAAGGGTCAAGGCCAGGATTCAAAGCTTGCTCTTCTGACACCAAGTCCAGGCCTCTTTTTTTTTTTCCTCCTTTGGAGGCACTTTGGGTTAAGTGACTTGCCCAAGGTCACACAGCTAGTAAGTGTTAAGTGCCTGAGGTGGATTTGAACTCAGGTCTTCCTGACTCCTGGGCTGG